ATTTTTTCTATTTCTTTGAAGAATGTCATTGAGACTTTTATTGGGATGGCGTTAAATCTGTATATCGCTATTGGTAGCATGGCCATTTTGATGATGTTTATTATCCCAATCCATGAGCAGGGGATGTCCTTCCGTTTCATGGTGTCTTCTTGAATTTCTTTTAAAAGTGTTTTGTAATCTTCTTTCTGTAGGTCTTTTACCTCTTGTTAGGTTGATTCCCAGGTATTTGATTATGTTTTAATTGAAAAGGGGATGGGTTTTTTTTTTTTAATTTGTTTCTTCTGACTGGTTGTCTGAAGAAAGGAAGGCCTCTAATTTTTCTGTGTTGATTTTCTATCCTGCTACCTTGCTAAACTGGTTGATGGCTTTAATTAGTTTCTCTGTGGAGTTTTTAGGGTTTTCCATGTAGATTGACGTATCATCTGCAATTAAGGACAGTTTTACTTCTTCTTTCCCTGATTGCATTCCTTGTGTGGCTTTATCCTGTCTTATTGTTCTGGTTTGAACTTCCAATGTTATGTTGAAGAGCAGTGGCAATAGTGGACACCGTTGTTTTATTACTGATCTCAAGGGAAAGGCTTTCAGTTTTTCTCCGCTGAGGATAATAGTGGCTGTGGGTTGGTCATATATGGCTTTTATCATGTTGAGGTATATTCCTACTATTCTGAGGATTACGAGGGCCTTAAACATAATTGGGTGTGAAGTTTGTCAAATGCCTTCTCCACATCTATTGATATGATTATGTGGTTTTTATTCTTCTGTCGGTTGATGTGATGGATTATATGAATTGGTTTTCTGATGTTGAACCATCCCTTATGCTCCTGGGATAAAGCCCACTTAGTCATGGTGTATTATTCTTTTAATGCATTGTTGGATTCTGTTGGCTAAGATTCTGTTGAGGATTTCTGCATCAGTGTTCATTAGGGAGATTGGTCTGAAGTTTTCTTTTTTGTGTGTCTTCTTTGTTAAGTCATTTGGTATTAGTGTGATGTTGCCTTCATAGAAAGTATGTGGTAGTTTTCCTTCTTTTTTGATTTTTTGGGATGAGTCTGTGTAGAATAGGCCCTAGTCCTTTTCTGAACTTCAGTAAAATTCATTTGTAAATCCATCTGGTCCTGGACTTTTATTTTTGGGGAGGGTTTTGATTATTTCTTCAATTTCCTTGCTTGTAATTGGCCTGTTTAGTGGTTCTATTTCTTCTTTATCTAGCTTTGGGTGATTATAGAGTTGGAATTTGTCTATTTCTGCTAAATTGTCCAACTTGTTTGCATATAGTTGCTCATAGTATCCTCTGATTATTCTTTTGATTTCTGCTGGATCTGTTGTGATTTCTCTTTTATTTATGATTCTGTTCATTTGTACTTTCTCTTGTTTTTTCTTTGTGAGCTACGCTAGTGGCCTATCTTGTTTACTTTTTCGAAGAATCAACTTTTGGTCTCACTGATTTTTTTGGGACTGTTTTTCTAACATCCATTTCATTTATTTCTGATTTGACTTTGTTTACTGTCTTTTACTGGCTCGTGGGTTGTTTTGTTCTTCTTTTTCCAGTTCTTTAAGGTGGAACATTAGGTTGTTTGAGTTATTTCTTGTTTCCTTATGTGAGCCTGTAATGCTATGTATTTTCCTCTTATAACTGCTTTTAATGTGTCCCTTAAGCTTTGGAGATTTGTGTTGTCATTGTCATTCTTCTCCAGGTATTTTTTTTTATTTCTTCTTTGATCTCCTCATTGATCCAAAGGTCCTCCAGTAGTGTGAGTTTCAGTCTCCACATGGTAGGTGGGTTTCTTGTCTTCCTCATATAGTTTATTTCTAGTTTGACTCCTTCATGGTATGAGAAAATAGTTGGTATGATTTCGATCTTAGTGTATTATCTTGTGACACAGTATGTGGTCAATCCTAGAGAATGATCCATGTGGGTTTGAGAAAAATGTGTACTCAGATTTTTTTGGGTGCAGTATGCTATAGCTGTCTGTTAGACCCATGTTGTCCAGGTCCTTGTTCAGAGCTTTAGTGTCTGTTTATTTTTTGTCTTGCTGATCTGTCCATTGTGGAAAGTGGTGTGTTGGAAGTCTCCTTTGTATGTATTTTCTCTGATATATGTTTTCATAGATGACAGTAGTTTCCTGATATATTTTGGTGCTCCTTCATTTGGTGCATATATGTTGATGATTGTTGTGTCTTCTTGTTGTATTGTCCCCTAAATCATAATGTAATGGCCTTTTGTGTCTCTTTTAACCTTTTTTTAGTTTCAAGTCTATTTGATCTAAAAATAGCTATTCCTGCCTTCTTTTTTGGTCCATTTGCTTGTAGAATTGTTTTCCATCCTTTTATTTTCAATGTGTTTTTATCTTTTGCAGTTAGATTGTGTTTCCTGCAGACAGCAGAACGTTGGGTTCTGTTTTTTAATCCATCCTGCAACTCTTGTGTCTTTTTATTATTGATGAGTTTAAGCCATTTACATTTAGAGATAATACTGATATACTGGCACCTACATTTGCCATTTTGGTCCTTTTTGTATTTTTATTTCTTGTTTTGAACTGTTCTTGTCCA